CCCAACTCTTGTGCACTGACCAGGAGCGAGGCCAGAGGACTGGCCAGGGGTGGTATGGGGTCCTCTTGAATCCTGACTGTCTCAACCCAAAATTTTAAACTATGATTAGCTGTTCACCTTGGAGGTCGAACTTGTGTTAAAACCGAATCTGTTGCAACAGGCTACGAGTAGCTCTCTGTGCATTTAAACGCAGCACATTTTCTTTGCATATTTGTCGTAAAACAGGTGCTTAGGGAAGAATCAGGCCACTGAAAACTGCAAACTTCTGTACTTTAAAAAACTCAACAGCATTTTTAGGAAAAAAAGGGAATTTTGACAGACAATGTTTTGGAGTTCTTTAAAAATATATTTTAGCCAAACATGCTCTATTATTTTTGAGGCCTCAAAGAATGAGGCTGAGATTTACATGTTTCTACTATAAAGTCAATCGTCTGTGAGATGATTTAGTGTTAGTGGGAGGGAGCATACATCAGCTCCCCCTTCTTCAATTTTACTGTCCCTGCCCCTCAGACAGCCCGAGTGCGCAAAAGCAGGTATGTATAACCCTTAAAGAATAACTGCATTAAAGAGTTGGCATTTACTGTCAGTATATTTCTAGGTGGTGATGGCTCTGTGTGTGTACCAGTGATAACAAGACAGCTGCTATTCATTTCAAGGATTGATTTGTCATTTCTTCTGTGATAGTCAGTAAATTTCTCTCCTGTAATCGCTCCTTGAAATGAAGAGCAGCATTTGGTGTTGTGGCGATCCAATCAAGTGACTAATTGTAGAGCGCATGATTTCTGCCAATGGGGGTGTTTGATGCACTCCTGCTGTTCTGTATCTGCGGAGGTTAAAGACAAGATGGTTGGAGGAAAAATAAACACAATTGCAGAAAATAAGCGAGCAGACGTTTCTCTGTCAGGTTTTTCTGTTTGTTAAAGATTCTTGTCGAAAATCAGCCACATGTAAACATGGAGTTGTGTTTACAAAGGAAAGGGGTCTTAAGCATGTGTGTGTGATATATTAGGCACCTTTTGTGCATGACCAATATCTTCTGTAAGTGTATTTGTTTGTGTACGTGCTGGGTTGAGCAGCTCAGTGTGCTCGTAATCTACAGCATCTCTCTCTGGCCTCAGTGTGTTGTTGTTTGGAGATTACCAGTGTTATCAGATGCTATGTGTGTGTGTCTCTGTGTGTTTGTCTGTCCCAGTGAGCGGATTATTTCATTGTTTGGAGCTATTGATCATGGATGGTTTCGGAGCTTTGTTAGCATTGTTTTCACAAGCCAGTCTGCCGGTGCTGCAGTGAAAAGCAGAGAGAGGCAGACTCCACAGACAGTATATTTGGGTGTCTGTTTGACTTCTGCCTGTGCAGAAAATGACTCCACTGCTCTTGGAAGCTCATGCTGAGGGAAATAACAAAACAATATGACTCTTTCATGAGACTTAGATAAACCAAATTTGAGCAGACAGGAGTAATTTCGTCTCTCAGGAATTAGAAATAACTGCTGAGGGAGGCACTGCTGAAGGGAAAGACTGCTCTCTCTTGTGCTCTTTTCTTCCCTCTCACTTGACATGACATAATGTGAGCTGACTGACACTTAATGAAGTAAAACACACTGCACTTTAAGGGAGGATTTTGTTCCTCGCATGAAACTTGATGCTTTCCCAACTGGAAACAAAAGGAGTAATAAAATAGCAACTCCTGAGCTGAACCAATCCTTTAGCTTGCTGACAGTGCAGAGCTGTGCTCATTATGTGTGTGAATGACATTAAGAGAGTCTTGTGCCTGGTGTGTGTAGTCTACACAGACATAAACCCTGTTGACTTGCACGGTGCGCCATTTGCTTCGCTTATGTCTCATCAGCAGGAAAAATCAGCATGTCTATTTTTTCAGTTGGTGAAAAACAACTATACTTAACTCTTAAAACAAAGGAGAGAGAACAAATCCAAATTTGTTTTTCTTGTTGATCTTATTTTTAAGCACCCAGTACTTAAAGGATGAGTTATTTCTTTCCCCTTTTTATGGATTAAAAGGATTTAGTAGCAAAGGGAAGTGACAAATGGGGCGTAGGGAAAAAGAGTAAAACATGGAAGGAAAACAACACAAGAGAAATGAGAGAAACAGGCCACAAAACACAGAAATGAAAAAGAGTTGTGTTTAATTAGAGCAGAAAAATTTGCTCAATAAGTTGGACCAGAAGGAGAATAAAAGAGAAATGATGTGTGCGTTCACAGTGTTCCTGTTTGTTTGTTTGTTTGTATGTTAGTGAATGACTGACACAAAAGGAGAAAGCCTGAACAAAGAATGAAAGAGGTCATTGACCTGTGTGATACTTGAAAACAGTGGTGCTATTGGTTGTGACCCTTAATGGACTCTGTGGTGGAGCTGAATTACAAATCATCATTCCTCATCAAAATTCCATGGCTGTTGGTTACAGCTAATGAGTAAAGCCTGATAACTCCAACAATCAGCCACAGCAAAAAGCACCGGTCTACATGTCAGAGTCTATTGCAATTCGTCTTCTCTCCCTTTTGGCTGAAAAAGCACATCGCCTGATTATGATGCATGAGAGAGGTCAGAGAGGAGTTTTTGCAGATGATCACCACTTGAAGGCAGTCACACAGATTTTGGCAAAATGGCGAAGACTGACTTTGTGTTTGGATTTGCCTTTTTGCTGGTTTTGCTTATGTATTGTGTGAGTGTGAGTGTGTGTGTATGTGATGGGGATGAGGACAACAGCAAGCCTGTGGCAAAGCAGGGAACCAGTTCCAGATCCAAAAAGCAATAATAAACAGTAATCTCCTTAACAGTCACAATTACTGCTGTCCCTTCATGTATGGTAAACAAGGCTTCAGGCTGGGTTCAGATTTCCCATGAGACATGCACATTTCTCTAAACTATTGTCCACTTTTTCCCTCTTTTTTGTGCAAAAACAAAGTTGATGTAGGACACCAGATCACCACAAGCTATTTTTCTTTTGTATTTGTGGACAAATGTGCCCGAAACCTTTTATTGTCTGTTTGTATTTGTGCATGTAGCATCAAAGTCATTTTTTCCAATTTGGGGATGTTTTGCTGTATTTTTGCTGCAGTGTGTGTGTGTGTGTGTGTGTGTGTGTGTGTGTGTGTGTGTGTGTGTGTGTGTGTGTGTGTGTGTGTGTGTGTGTGTGTGTGTGTGTGTGTCCCTGTCCTTGCTCTCTACTCCTGCCAGCTCTTCTATTGTGACAGAACAGGTGCAGATGAATATGAAACAGATCGGCAGAGCTTTTAGGGCCTGGCCTTTTGTATGCACACTCATGTTCTAACCATCATGTAAGAGCAAACTGGCTTCCAATCTCCATCTTTAGCACCTTCTTTTAAGTGCCGAGCAGCAATGTCAAAGCTATTTCACAGAGAGCAAACACATTACTGCCCTGACCACAAGGGCTATGTGAGGTTCAAGGCCTGTTTGTCTCTCTTATAGTCACTCCTACAGGAGGTGACCTGAATGAGTCAGGTTCCAAGTCTCAGACGATGATCTACCAAGTAGATCTTCTCTGAAATGTCTTACCCCATGAGTTCTTACATACACTCACCAATCTCACACCCTGTTCTGCTCCCTCCTCACCCCAGAGTGACACATTCCCCACAGCAGCCCTGAAATGGCTCTTGAGTCCTCACTTCAGGAGATAGATAGATAGATAGATAGATAGATAGATAGATAGATAGATAGATAGATAGATAGATAGATAGATAGATAGATAACCTTTTAATGTGACTCCTTACAGTAATTCATCTTTGTTTTGTGACGTGCCTCCAGCGCCCTCCTTCCCCTCTCCTTATCTGCCATTCCCCCCTCTTGCTCCCCCTCCCTCTCTCAACCTCTCTCCCTCCCTCTCTCTCTCTCCCTCCTTCTCTCTCTGCTTCTTTCTACCTCTTCCTATTTATGCCTCTTTCTCCTCTGCGAAACGCAGGCAACCGATGACAAAGATGGGAAGCCGTATAAGACCCGGAGTGCTGTTGTGTTTTGTCCTCCATGGAATTCCTCCTTTCGTCTCATTTCAGTCACACTAGAATCAATAGTCCCATGCGGGCTGACTGCTGGTAGCATCTCTTGCTGGTATCGACCCTCTGCTGGATAATAAAAGAACCAACAAAGCTGCGCCCTACACGCACAAGAGGAGGCGATCCTGCCACTGCGCACCACGGCGCACAAGAAGACGAGTGCGCACAGGCGATCGTTGTTGAACTTCAGCAGGACTCATAGACCCCCAAAGTCTTCAGAGCTGTGCGACAGCAGCCACAATTTCCCTGTCTGTGCTGAATAACAGGGTGACTTCTTGTATTTAACAACCAACAAGTGGAATTGTGTTCTTTCACCGGGACTCTGATCTGCGCTGATCTCACACGCGGACTTAAACAGGTGGGTCTAATGTGACAGAAGACTGCGTTAATATCACACTAAGCGACATATGGTCTGTGGGCGCAGTTTGGGGGCAATCGACCCGCCGCTGCTCCACGGCGCATCGGTGGTGCTGCAGCGGACAGAGCCGGGGACGCTGAGGAATGCGGAGACGGGATTGTGTCCTTTTCAGCTCACCTGCGGATTTGTTCGCAGCGCACACCAAAGTAAGTGGTATTTTCAATAAGAAGAAAACATGTGCGGTGGCTTGTTTAACGTTGTTACGTTGTTAGATAACCAAATCTCAAGGTACATTTACAGGAAAGTGTTTATCCTGAACACTGACTGTACTTGTTTCCTTATCACTGAGGACATCTATGTTACCTGATTGACACACACGGTGTAGATTATCTGTGTATCATGAGTTTGTCATTGACCTTGTCAAACAGCTGAAAGTAAAGTTCCCTACCCGACAAGCTTGATCAAAAATATGTGACTCTGGAATCTTCCCTGGTTTGGTGCTTTCAGAGACATGACACCCTGACTTAACCAACCCGAGGACACGAGGCTATAACACTCTCCCTATCTTTTCTTCCAGCAGCTGACCCACGCAGCCGGTGAGGCCTCTGTGCGCCATGCTAAGGCAGATCCTTCTCAACTCCACCGACTCCCAAGGCTTCGACCTGGTGCTCATGGCCCAGTCCTCTACGCACGCCCCCTCCTCCCTGAACGCCTCCCACGGTGGTTCGGTGAGCGTGGCCGCCCTTCTGAGACCCACCACGGGGCGGGGGGGAGGGGGGCTCCGGGATGGCGAACTCCACAAACCAGACCTGATTACTTACATAGTCATGTGCCTGCTGCTCTTTCTCTTAGTGCTGCTCATCGTGTTTTTCATCAACTGCCAGCTCCGGAACTCTTTCTTCGCCTCCATGCCATATGACAGGTCGCTGAGAGAGGCCCGGACGTCCTACAAGTAGATTCGACCATCAGGACTAAACCATGAGACTTTGGGGGACTCATGTGGGGGCTTCAGGACTTACCGGACCCCTTGAACTACTGCTGCTGCTGGACACATGATGTTGTTGCCTTTATGAGCTGTCTTGGACACTTTGGAAGGCCTTAACCTGGAGAGTCGAACTGAAACTAACGTATTTTTCTTTTGGCAAATCATGATCACGTGTTTTTTTCTATCAAGAAAACAGTAAAACTCCCGAAATTTGTCACCCTTGTAAATTTAGATGACTACTGATTAGATATGTTGTTACATGATTCACAAACCCTAGTGTTGCCCCTTCACAGCACCATGTAATTTACAAGTCCCAACTCATGTATCAATAGGCTGCTGATCTGGGATTGAGCCTAAAAGTTGCAGTTTGGTTTTGAAATCCAGTCTCAGATTACCTGAAAACCTAATCTGTGTCGCCATGAAGAGCCTTCAGTATTTGTATATAGATATTTTGTATGGCTGTAAATTAATTGTGTTGTCTTGTGAAAAGATGCAATCTACAGACTATATCCACCCCATTACCCTTGTGAAGTGGTGATAACTGGCACATTGCAGGCCTATTGTCTCATAAAGATATTGAAACGTGCCCTGAAGTCCTTTTATCTATCCACCTGTTTATGAATGGCAGTGCTGCAGCTGCTGGTGTCAACTGTCAATCATCATACAGGCGTTTTAACGGGCGCAACAGGAACGGAAACCTTATCCTGCACTTACACTTTTAATTAACCTTTCATTCACAATTGATGGTGCCAATGTCTCCGGGAGTGGTGCTCGAGTGTATGACGAGTTAGATGCGATAAACCAAACTGCTGTCGGTTCCAGTGCCACCGGTTATGCACAAATCCTCCCCAATCTTGTTGTGGAAAAACATGCCTCACATACCGAGACGGATAGATGAGCGTATCTCTGTAATCCTGTGCCTGTGAATGCGAGTGCGTATTTTGTGCACACAGGTTTGTGCGTTTGGGAAAAGAGCCAGAGAATCGCCATGAAGCATTCATTCAGTGAGTCTTGAATGCTTCTCACAAGATGCGAGACTGTGGGGATATAAACACTATGATTACTGCTGCCTGTCGTGCGTAATCAGAACTGCTTTCCGGGTCTGAGAAAAGTTCTCTGCCTAGAGTGTTGCCTTCATTATGGTCGACCAATACCTGTTGTTCTCACCATTTAATGGCCTCATATTTTTCAAAGCATTTATGAATTGTAAATGATCTTTTATGTACAAATAACAATCTAGTTATTAACTGGTACATAACAATTTGCCTGCTATCCGGTCTGGTGATGCTGCAGCGCTTGTCTCCGCTTGGTGGCGCTCCATGTCTGTAAAGTGTGATTACAATACACTATCGGCAAAGTATCCAAACCGCACAATTTGTAACACCACCTTAATCATCTTTTGAAAATAGCCTTTAAAGAGCAGAAAAGGATGGAAATTCTGACTTTTGACCCACATTTTATGAACATCCGCTGAAAAATCTTTACAGTTATGACCTCTTAATCCAGTCAGCCGCATTTCTTCCATTTTAATGAGATACAATTAAGTTGTTGAGCAATAAAAGAGGTGTGCAGCTTTGAGCTAGAAAGTTCAGATTTCCTTCTGTTTTAATTTTGTTGTAGAAAGAAAAAATTTGTGTTGCAGAGAGTAGATTTTTTTTATGTCTAGCCCATTAATGTGCTCCCTTATTATGTAAATATGAGGTTAAATATTGTTTAGATCGTAATACAATGTGTTTCCTCAGTTTAGTGCTTAAGAACAACATGTTAAGGGCTGTTTTGGAGTGAACTTGAAGTGAAGTTAGGTAGGCAGCTGTTAGACTCAAACACTGGATAGGTGACTGAACTTATATTGATGACTCCACAGACAGTATAGGGAAGAGTGGGGTAAGATGAACCATTTTCCATATTTTGGATCACTACATCAAAACAATCATAGTTTTGTCTCTTACTAGTGTATCTGCATAAGGATGTTGTGCATCCTTGCAAACCAACAGAATGAGTGTAAACATAACTGTCTTGATAATAAAGCATGCCAAAAAAGTGGTCTCCTATGGTCAAATTAACCTGTGTATGGGGTAAGATGACCATAGGAGCGGGGTAAATTGAGCCGTATCCCTACTACCCACTCCACCCCAGCCCTCCCTCACCTTCTCTCTCCATAAATAACATTCAATTCTTCACATTCATATGTATTTTTATCTATTATATGCCATACAACTGGTACAATAATTCTTTTTATTATTATTGCATATAACTGTTAAAAAGCTGTTTTGTAAAAAATCATTTTAACATGATAATGTCTTTAAGTGATTCAGAACATTTACAGCTGTATTTTTGAAAAGAAAGAGTAACACATTTCAACAATCTGAACTGAAACTCTGATCCTCTCTTCAGACTTCTTTACTTTTTCAGTAGAACCACTGGCTCATCTTACCCCAGAACAACTATTATGACTTTATTAGTCCTCTAAGCTAAAATGGTGGACTTTTATGCTCATAGATACCACAATTGATGTATAAAACAAATTTAAAATGATCTTTTTTGGTCTGAACACATTCTGATAAAACTTATGACAGACTTAATTCTCTTTCTAGAGTGAAAAATGGAAAATAACTGTCTAACCTCTTTACCCTTCTAACCTTCACAGACTCCATGAATTGATGCCCAGCTTTAAGTATTTGGTCACATGATCAATTTCTTTTACCATTTCCAAGTAACAGTAGGTGGCTCAATTTACCCTCTAGCTCAATCTACCCCACTCTTCCTTACTGTCTATTCTAGCTCATGGAAGCACACTATTCAAACATTGTATGCTGTTCCAAACACATGTCACAGTCAGTGATGCCATGGGGGCACGAACATAGTTGTTTCTAAAGCGCTGGTCCAGGCTCATTGCTCTGTGCAGTCATGTTAGCAGAGTCGATAAAATCCTCCCAGGTGTAGCTGCAGAGCAGGCTCCTCCCAGCCAGCTCTGTCCGGACTGTCAGAAGAACAGGAAGAATTCTCTACCGCGATAAACGCTGCAGCTTTCCTCCCCGCTGACATTTGGGGGTTAAAAAGTAATCGAAAACTTGTGAGAACCATGGAAACCAATTTAGGTGATTCTATCGGGCATGTAAATCCGTGATACCAACTCATCACCTTTGTTGTCGCCGAAATCAAGTTGTGGAAGTGGGGAGAGCGGAGTTTTTCTTCTTCTTTTCGGGACTTCACCTACTGCAACTAGACAAGTTAGCCTAGCTTACGCTAACGTTAGCACCCTGACTACCGTCTACTTTTAGGACCTAAACTTCACATAGGTAACGCCTCGGTCTCCGTTACATGTAGATACAACAAGACTACGGTTAGAAGTCGTGTTACCCAAAAGCAACAGGTTGTTTTGTTACTTTTCTTACTGAAGACTTGAGGCTGTGCTTTGAATTTCCCTCCTTTAGTCATAACAGACAGACGGCTTAGCGAGGGGTCGCTCCCTTGGCTCTTTCCCAATTCATTAGCAACACTGTGCTAATTGTTGCTAGTTAGCCACAGCACTAGCACAGGCCTGGGGGAATCAACAGTTGTTTTCTTCCGCAAGCTGGGAAAATTCATCTGCTTCTTTGAGTTGTGAAAATTGAAGTTGCGGGGACTTTACCGCCAAGAGGGTTTGTTTCCACACCTAATTCAAGGAGACGGATTAGTTCATAACTATGGATCCCCCCACGGGGAACTCTGCCTCAGCTGCTGGTCCCAAGAAGGACAAGAAAGCAAAGAAGAACTATGATGATGGAGAAGGAAAAAAGAAATTTGTGAGTATCCCACAGGTTCAGTGATTTGTTTAACCCTCATGAGTGCGTGGGTCCACAAGTGTTGCACCTTTCTCTACAGTTTCTTACACTTTCTTCCTCCTTATGTTTCAAGTGAAGATACTAAGTAACTTTGTTTGACTCCCTGAAACTATGCAGCAGTTACCCACCTGTACAGCTTGACATGTTAGGCATAGTATTGACATTTTCAGGCCAAACTACATACTACTACATACACCGACCAGCCATAACATAAACACATTGACAGCTAAATGTGATACAGTATCACAGCTCTACCACAAACTCAGCTGTCAGGAAGCTTTCTCACTGTTCAGTTTCTATTGGCATGAACATACTGGTGGTGATTATTGTACTTTATATTTGTTAGTGAAGACGTAGTAGGTGGTGGTGTGTTGGAGTGTTTTACTGAAAGGTGTTTTTTAAGATATTTTCTAAACTTCACCAAAGGAACAAAAATGAGGAAAGTAGAAGCTTCATATCAGTAGAATCCATGATGCAGCTTTTGTAATTCAGACACTACTTGAAATGAAAATGGTGTTAGATGTGTGAAATGAACTCAGTAAGTTGTGGCAAGTTCAGACATTGAATTTTCTCAAGGTGACTTAATTGTGATGACATCATGCAGTGTCTACCTGTGTGTGTCAGCATGTGTGATTCAGTGAGGTGACTGCGGGTGCAGTAACATTCACCCAGTAGTGATGCTTCTGATCAGCCTGACAAGCTTTTGTGTAATTTAACCCCTTGGCCATGTCTAGCAACAGCTGAAAACTGATATTGTACACAAAGACAGTCACAGTGGATGATACACCAGACATGTGGACCCAGAGTAAACAATTTAACCACACAAACATGAAATTACAGAGAAATCCTCAGTCCACAAGCCCTCTAATGGTCTCAGTACCGTAAGTATTATAGCAGTGTTGGTTTGAGGTTGTATTTCTTGCTTATTCAAGGAATAAAAAATACAAATAATAATTATTTATTTATTTATTTATTATTTAACCAATTTATTATTTCAGGTATTTTTAATGATTCCATCATGTATTCATCTTTTAAGAGGAAAAGAGGTGCAAATTAAGAAAGTACTGTGATGAGTGGCAAAGTATTACAAAGCATGCCCAGGTTTAGGGAAGGGCTATCAAGAGTTATGAGTCACGAACAGAAACCA